CACACACACACACACACACACACACACACACACACACACACATACCCATAACACATAAAATAATAAATGTAGGGACTGGAGAGATGGCTCAGTGGTTCCTGATCTTCTAGAGGACCTGGATTTGGATCCCAGCACCCACATGGCAGCTAGCAAACACTGCTAACTCCAGTTCCAGGGAATCTGATGCCCTCTTCTGGCCCCCACAGTCATTGTATGGCATGGATGCACTGACATACATGTAGGCAGTATACTCATACATGTAAAAAGTAAATAAATTTAAAGATAATAGCTTGTCACAAAAATCTTCTAACCACATCTTCCATGTTTTGTCATGTTCCGTTCATTGAACCAAAGCTCTCTTTCCATAGTTAGAAGTAAAAGGCTTCAGGAAAAGGCTGAAAAAACTAGGGGGAAAATCTTTTTTTAGCTCAAGTGGGTGATTTTAGTTTTTTGAGGCAAGAAGTTTGCAAATCTAGTTGATGACTTTTATTTTTATTTACTATATTTATTATTATTATTATTATTATTATTTTATTTTTGGTCTTTTTGAGACAGGGTCTCCCTATAGCCCCAGCTGTCCTGGAACTATGTAGACCAGGGTGGCCTTGACTCACAGAGATCCGCCTGCCTCTGCCTCTGGAGTGCTGGGATTAAAGGTCTGCGCCACCACGCCCAGCGGACTTTTATTTTTAAAAAAGTTGGTATATAATTCAGATACCTTAAAATTCATCATGTTTTGGGGGGGGTGTTTTTGCTGGGTTTGATGCTGGGGAGCAAGCCCAGGCCTCCTGCATGCTAAGCACTAACTTGACCACTGAGCTACTTGCCAGCCCTGCCATCATTTTTAAAGTGTATAGTTCAGTGCCTTAAGTGTTTTTACCATATTGTACAAGTGTCACCCTAACTCCAGCACATTCCATCACTCCAAATAAAGACCTACTGGTAGTCACTGTTCACCATGCATAGCTTCTTTTACTTGACATAATGTAGTTTAGTTCTGCATTGTAGCACGCATCAATATTTATTTATTTTTAAGGCTGAATAATATTCCTTGTGTGAATATTTCATATATTTTGACCATTAGTTGGTGTGCTGGATAGCTTTAGTGTCAACTTGACACACCTGGGTTGAGGGAGCCTCAATGGGGGAATTTCCTCCACAGGACTAGCCTGTGGCCATGTCTGTGGGTATCTTCTTGTTGTTGAGTGATGTGGGAGGGCCCAGCCCACTGGGGGTGGTGCCTTCCCTGGGCAGGTGGGCCTGTGTTGTATAAGAAAGCAAGCTGCAGGGCGTGGTGGCGCACGCCTGTAGTCCAAGCACTTGGGAGGCAGAGGCAGGTGGATCTCTGTGAGTTCAAGGCCAGCCTGGTCTAAAGGTCAGCCTGGTCTACACAGTAAGTTCCAGGCCAGCTGGGGCTACAGGGAGATCCTGTCTCAAAAAAAGGATCTTATCAGATATGGCCCCTTGACTTCATCTTCCCAGCTTCTAGCTAGGACTGTGAGAAATCTCTTTATAAATGACCCAGCCTATGAATTAAGAAAATAGATTAAAACAGTTATGGTGGCAAATCTTCCCAACACATGAGGAAGACCTTTGAGCACTACCTGTTCCCTGGAGACCAAGACAGGTTGTGCTCAGTGGGAGGGGCTCTCAAGATAGCAAAAGGGAGGGCGGGGAAACGGTGAGCACCATGTTCTCTCTTGAGGCCTCCTTAACAAGAGGGCAGAGAAGAGAAATGCAGCAGAGTCTGGGGAAGGGAATGAGTCAAGGTGGGAAAAGTCTGTGTGGCCTTTGAGAAGGTGGCATGGGGCAGAACCTAGGGTCAGGTGGAACAGAGGGTGGGGTAGTGGCAAGGTAAGCAAGCAGAGTCCCAGACACAGGACACAGGCAGGGGAGATACACAGGAGGGCTGAGAAAGTAGGTTTTTAAAAATTAAAAAAAAAAACAAAAATATATATTTTTGGTGTTTTTTGAGACAGGGTCTACTGTAGCCTCAGGTGGCCTGGAATTCTCTCTAGGTAGACCAGGCAGGCTACCACACCCAGCTCCTTAAAAAAAAAAAAAAAAAAAAAAAAAAAAATTTTTAAAAACAAAAAAAAAAAAAAAAAAAAACCAAGTGAAAACTAATAGTCTTCCAGATGAGAGAGGTGGAGAAGGGGGATGGAAGGATTTGGGCTTCTAGAACAGTGACTGAAACCATTTCTCTGCTCTGGCTTCCTCTCCTTCCTCAGGCCTGTGAATCCTCTCACTGTGGCAGAGGAAGAGGCAGGAAGAGTGAGGCTGCTTATGCATTGAGCTGCTGCTTTCCTCACCTTTCCCACAAATGTGCTTTTCTAGGACACCCCGTCCCCAAACATCCAATTCCTCTCATGCTGGTGCCAGAGAGGAATACCTGACTTGAGCACTGCCTCTGTGTTTTCTTGATTTTTCTCTTCTTGGTCCTCTTTGGTTGTAGGAAACCACATACCTTCTGCCAGTGGCCCCTTCTCAGCTCTGACACCAAGCATATGGCCCCAGGAGATCCTGGCCAAGTACACACAGGTACAGCAGTTAGCACAGCAGGCACTAGCCTGCCATGCTCCTATGCTTGTCATGAAGAGATCTACCTTTGCAAGTGTTCTGGGAATGGCTGGCACACTCCACGCTCACACAGGGTCACAGTCACCACTAGAGATGGCGTTTTAGTTCCATGTGTCTGTGTGAGTTTGTCATTAAGTAGGAGAAAGAAAACTGTGGAGAATTCAGAGAAGGTGGCAGCCCCTTGTAGCTGAATGATGCCCAGGGAAGGCAGCATACCTGGAGCCCTTGCTCTGGGTGGGATTTCAGCAGTCAGCTGGCATCTTTTGGAAATTGCCTTCTTTCTAATCCTGGTTCTAGAAGGAAGAGTCTGCAGAGCAACCAGAGTTCTGCTACGATGAGTTTGGTTTCCGAGTGGACAAGGAAGGTAAGATGGAGCCCCTTGTGTGTGGTCTTGCTGATGTTGTCGGGAGAACTTTGGCCCCCATGACTTGGATTTCATGGCATATGGCCTCTGAGGTCTGGGGGTGTCACTGAAGGAATTAAGGACAGAGTATATGTAAGTGAGGGATATGCTGTTCTAAATATGGGAACTTCTGGGGTTTTTTTTGTTTTGTTTTTAGATAAATGCTTAGTCTTTACCTAATAGTCTTTATGTATTACCTATTTACCTATTACCTAACAGTCTTTACCTAATAATAAAAGCAATTGTGTATCTTGTAGAGAAGTTTTTTTTGTTTTGTTTTGTTTTGAGGCAGGGTCTCCCTTTAGCCCCAGCTGTCCTGAAACTCACTATGTAGACCAGTATGGGGCGTGCGCGCTCTCTCTGGGCGCACTCCCCCGAATGGCACTCCCCTGCCACACCTGGCTAGTCGCTGGCGGGTCTGGCCACAGTTCTCCGTGTCTCTATGGGCCTCAGGCGTGGTGTGCGTGGATATCTCGGGGCCCCTGCCACACCTGGCTAGTCGCTGGCGGGTCTGGCCACAGGCGTCTCTGGCCTCGGCTCTCTGGGAGCCCTGCAGGCTTTTCCCGGCGGCTCAGGTCCCGTGTCTCTGGAGCTTCTCTGCTGCAGAAGCGTTGTTCTGCCGAATCCTGTCCCTAATCCACCCGTGTACTCTTCCTCAGGATGCGAGGTCCAGTGGCCACTTGGGCCTCACAGGAAGAAGTACGGGGACAACGAAAGCTAGAATGTCCATAAGCC